TTCCCAGAGATGGGTTGCGGCTGGAAGGTCATCAAAACTTGCTGGATAAGTTGGTGGTTCATTCCGCTGTGGCGACCCCCTTTAATAAAGGGACTAAACCGACAAGAAAATGAAAAGAAATGAAATTTCCATCTGTTTCAAGCTACGAATATTTGAAATTACATGTCAACAGAACAAAAAAGAGATATGATCACAATCTGAGCATTTGCGATCAATATACTACATCTGCAGCTGTTTTTTAGTAATTTATAAGCCTCAATGTCCATGTCAGAGCTACAGTTCACTGATGTTTTCGGCAGTCTTTTGGAGATTTAGTCATTGGTGACATTGTTATAGCGGGTTGGTGTCTGCTTTTATGTTTGGTATCGGATTAATATTTGCTGGTAAGGAAAATCTATTTGTTCACTTCTGCTATTTAAACTTTAATTTTCATTTCAATTTATTTATTTATTCCACTAAAAATAGAATTGGCATAAAGAGCACACAAACATGCGTACACAGTGATAGGTGTACATTGTTATGTGTCAATGATGCTAATATTTAACACAATCCATTAATTTCGCCTTTCTGGCTGTTCTATGCGTGTTTCCTTATCGGTTAGTAACGCTATATTTTATTGCACAACAATTAATTTATCAGGCTTTTTGACTAAAAAGAGATATTACGGTTCAATTTATTATTATTATTAGATTATTTAAAATTTCACCTCTCCTGCTGTGCATAAACTGAGCTGTTGAATGTTCAGCGTATGAGGCGGCTAGGCTAAGCTAGCTTGAATTTGGATTATTTTCCAATCGGTTGCGTATTATGTCGTGAATATACCCCTGTAATGCATACTGCAGTCCTTTTTTTTGTCTGGCTTTCTCGAATATTTCACCTGTTCACTAAAAATGACTGATTATATCACTGGCAATGTCTGACACCTGCACATACACATTGTAATAGACGTTGCAGGCATGACAACTTAACAGGCGTAGCAACAGTATCTAAGGAGGGCGGGACTTAGTGAAGGGTCAATTGGACACAGCATTATATTGTATCAAGAGAATGATATTGTGTAACACATAAGCCAGATACATAATTTGACAGGATTACACCTGATTGCATCTTGTAGAAACAGCCATAAATGAGATCTTGTTCCCTTCTAGTACACATGAATTTTTTCATGTATTATATATATGTGTGCGTGTGTGTGTGTGTGTGTGTGTGTGTGTGTGTGTGTGTGTGTGTGTGTGTGTGTGTGTGTGTGTGTGTGTGTGTGTGTGTGTGTGTGTGTGTGTGTGTGTTTGTGCGTGTGTGCGTGCGTGCGTGTGTGTGCGTGTGTGTGATTCAAATGTTTAGAAACAAAATTTAAAAGTTGTTAAATTTCATTAGTGATTCCAAATATGAAATGTAATCCTAAGCTTGGGTTTGGAGTGTATGATTCAAAAAAGATAGAAATTTGCACTTGCATGCCCAAGAGGCTGTTCAAAGATATCTGCTAGGTGAAATGGCTTGCCTTTAATGGGACTTTGAAAGCACCCTTTAGTGGATTTGTCACTGGAAATGTGCAACAAAACTTACCCAGAGGAATGTATTTTATGCTTTACAAAAATGATGACTGAAGCATGTATTTTTAATGAGCCTGGCCTCATATATAATTTAACCTGCCTAAATCTAAAACAGCATTGAAAGACCAAATGATGGAGCATAGTCAAGGACGAACATAATGAGAAACTGATGATTATCTGATCTTCAGACTCTCATTGCCTTACAAACACATTATACGCTGGGTTTAATGAAAAGAGACAGGAAGACAGAAAGATGTTTTTCAGAAAAGTAGTCTTTTTTATAGCCTATTTTTATAGGAGCAACTTAAGCAAAATAATTTTATAGCAACTTAAGTATAATCAGGTTATTTTATACATTTTTTTGTTTATATCCACCTCAGCCTTTTTTTAGTGTTGTTATGACAGCAATTGAATGGTTGGAAAATGTTTGACCTGTCAGAACATATGATCAGCCCTTGTCAGGGTATTGTACAGTTGAATCTGAGATACAAATCGACTGGCCACTGAAACTGTGTGAAAACAGACTAGGTTCAGTTGTGTGTGATTTAAAGGATATATTAAAGAAGACACAGAAACAATTGAGTGATATTTTATCAACATTTTTGTGAGATACAGAGCTGATTAGAATCTTTTTCGGAATTGTTCTTCTACGTCTGATATTCACATATTCCAACCTTTTGATTTAGTGGGTAATTCATATTAATTTGAACAAACTCATTCACATATTTAAGCACGATTTGCACATCCTCCAATAAGGGCTAGGTTTAGGAGTTTGGGAAAAGTGTCCTTTTAAAAATAGAATGTTTTAATATGAATAAAATTGTGTAATTTTGTATTCATTAGCCACTTTAGTGACAATTTGTAAAATAGCTACGTTTCTTTGTTAGATTGATTTGGATATTCACACCCCATTTGTTGGTGAAAATAGCTAATGTTGTTTTGCCAGCTGCAATTTACATTTACTCATTTAGCAGACGCTTTTGTCCAAAGTGTCATTTAAGGAAAAAGAAGAAAAGGGCTGTGAAGGGTTGATTTCACACATTTAATGTGAGCTGTCAATTCACAGCTTAACAGTCTGACCATGTAGTATAGGGAAATAAATTGTGAACTTAGCCATTACATGGCATGCAATTTTCTCTCTATTTTATTTTTTTTTTTTTTATGCAAGGTAATCATATCATCAGAAACTTATACTGGCCCATACCTCATTGTAGTATGCAAATATTCTGATAGTAATCACCAAAGCTATCTTTATCTTATTGTACATTATTAAATTGATATGGTGTCTCAGAAGTCTTTCTGAAATCAGTTTTACAAGGTGCCTTTGTGCACAAACACTGCCTCTAGAGTCACTGCCTGTTAGGGCAGTGAGGCAACAAGTCAGCTGACTGCTTTTGGACGCCGCGTAGGTCTGTTCCAAGGCATTCCTCTCATTTATACTTTCTTGTTCAAGGTGTTATATGTACACTTTAGTAAGCCAGTCGTTTATTGCTTACTTGTATTTACCACCTGACAGTCACAGATACCTGACAATGCAATGCTTTTCAATATTAAAGTACTTCCATTTCATATTTATGTTGCTTTACAATTACTCATATTGCATGTAAGTTCATCTTACCATGCAGCGGGTAAAGATTTGACGACTTTGTTGAAGTCTGGGAAAAAATCACAACTGAGCAACACATGTGACTGAATTCTCTGTAAAAGAGCAGGGTGTCTGCGGGGTCTTAAAAAGTCTTAAAATGTCTTAAATTTCAAAAACTAAATTTAAGCCCTAAAAGTATTAAATTAACTGAAATATGCTGTTGTGGGTCTTAAATACTTTTAAACAGGTCTTAATTTTCACTGATTGTCCATGTAAAGCTATAGTCAATCAGTACAACCAACAAATCAATCTAAGAAACACGTTTAACAAAACTAACATTTATTAACTGTTTAGCAATATGGTTTAATTGTCTTCCTTACATCCTTACAATAACATTTGTTTAAAAGTTCTCCATGTTTTTATGGATAAATTTGTTGTGCATAAATTTAGTTAATTATAGCTTTTAAAACTTGTCTCTTTTTAAAAGTAAATATTATGCTAATAAAAATATATATGTATATAAATATGTATAGTTTGCTTGTTTTGACACATTAATTAAAATATGTGGCTAATAAATAACTGAGTTTTAATTATAATGGGGTAAGTTAGAAAAAAATCCTATGGTTATTACTGAAAATTGTTAGTGTTTTGCCACATGAAAGTCTGACATTTCATTCATAATGGTCTTAAAAAGGTCTTAAAAAGTCTTTAAATTGACGTGATGAAGCTTGCAGAAACCCTGAAGAGGCATCTTGAAGCTGAAGCTTGTCAATGCAATTTTTCATGTCAACAGCTCCTTTAGAAATAGATTTTCCTTTAAAAATTATGATTTGTGCAATATTTATTGCACCTACTCTACACAAAACATATTTATGCATCATCAAACATACATCATGCATATATTTATGTATTTTTTTTATTTAGTTGGAAATTTTTTATGTACTTGAAGTGCATAACCTGCATTTTTCTAGGAATTTCAAGTATCAGACTCTAACTTGGAATCAGCAGATACACAGCATTTCATGGCTTAGATTATAAGACTCTGAAATCTCTATAAATTGATATGTGAGATATAAGCCTGTGATGTTACAGAAAACATATTTTGCTTTGCTTTGTATTAGATATGAGACACCAGACAGATTTGTATCATATCTAAATAAGAGCAGAGATTTGATTTAGATGGAAATAGCTATTACTGCATCCTGACAGCCAGCTGGGCCTTAGAATGTTCCAGAGTGAAGAATCCATTCCATCACTATAGGGAATTCTGCCTTTGTGATACTGGCTATCCATCTGTAACTCTGGGGGAAATGGAGTGAAATTGGATTCAGATAAAAAATAAAATAAAAAACCCTGCAAACTTTTTTACAGAATGACTCCACAAAAAGTTTGCTTGCATATTTGCTCTTATATCTGATGATTAAAGGTCATTTTCAGATAATCTGTGTTTTGTATACATGAAATGCATGTATACAACTATTCAACTAGAAGTCAAGTTATTATTTATTTTTCCTAAAACTTGAGTATTGAATAAAACTTGAATAACAAGACATTTGTCAGGTAGTGTATATAGAAATATTCTCTCTATGCTGTGCAAACATTGCTGGCTTGTAAAATAATCCCTTTCTGTCTGTCATAGAAAAAGTTTTCAACAAGAACTTATTATTGCTCAACCTCACTTTCCCTAATTATCTGGCATCTATTTTTAGTAGTTTTCTCACATTCAGTCAATGATATCATTGTCCTGGGCATATTATTTGTCATGTAGCAGCTGTTGTATTAAATACATTTGAATGGAAATTGCGAAGGTTATTCATTGCTTATAAATCAAAATGTTTCTTCTTTTATTTTCCCCATCTTTGCAGGTAAATACGTCTACCAACCTATGACCAGCGTATGCCAACTTCCCAGCACAGCGGTTCCAGTCGCTCCCTCAGGTCATACGCACACTATGAACTTGTCCATCTCGCTGGCTGAACGTTTTCTCAGGACAGCTCCCAAGTTCCAGGCTCCACCCTGCCCTGAGTCTCCCAAGTTCTGTGTCATCTCTGACCTCTTTGTGGATGATTACATGGTCAAGCGTATTAATGGTAAAATGTGTTACGTGCAAAGGCCTCCCCCGCCTACACCAAATCCCACACACCAACCTCAAACGGCGGCACCTCAGCCTGTGCCCCAACGTTCCAAAAACAGTCATCAAGTGGGCCCAACTGTTAAACAAGGCCAAGCAAAGGAGAAGATCTCAGCCCCTAAAATGGACCACTGCTCCTCTCCCTCCAGCTCAGAGGACTCTGGAATCAATGCATTGGGTTTGCACTACATGGAATCATGCGACGAGGACTCTTGTGTAGATGACGATGACGAGGAAGAAGAGGACGATGAGCTGAGTACTGATGGAAACTCCAGCCCAGGTAGCTTCTGGGACCAGGACGAGTGCACTTTACTATCACCATCTAAATCAATCGTTGAGATCATTGAGAAGATTGAGACTACAGTTTGATGCACCTGTCAGTCAATAGCACAAATGGAATTCCTCAGTCACAGAAACACTTCCCTTCACCATCCTGTCTGCAGGTGCATGAGTTCAATGAGCCAGTGCAAGCACACACTCCTTGTTATGGCAATGCAATTCGAGGTTGTCCCAGAAAAACCCTCGAGAGATGAGTCACAAGGACTTCTCTCCTGTACTTACTACAGCTCTCATTTTCCCTATAGTCCCTTACGCATGGTGAGGCTAATGTAGGTTACACGCATTTAAGTGCGCTGACATACACATATCGTGAGAACTATGACCAAACGGGACACAAAACTTGATAGAATATTTCATGGCTGAACAGATATATCAAAGTCAAGCTCAAAAAACTGAGGGTACCCAGGATATGTCTCTCCCCAGAGGGCTCTGTCCATTGCATATAAGCGGAAGAAGAAATGGCTGATGCAATATAGAGAGATCTAGACCAAGACAGTCTGTGTGTGTTAGGAGGATGGAGAGAGCAACAAAGATAGGAGAAAAAAATTGAAGTAGGGAGGCTTTCAACATCCTGTTAGCAGGATTAGTCAGAACAGTGGCTAAATCATGCATGAGCTCAGAGGATGGTAATGAAACCTTGCGATGAAACGAGATTGAAGCTCTGTGCTAGAGGGAATGCCCCTTCACTCACACTCTCTCACACACACAAATTCCTCAGAGGCGCAGCCAAGGGTGCATTACCAGACGTTTCTTGTCTGGCACCAGTCTATTTGGGGAGAACCAATTCTCCCATCCTCATCGTTCTTTGTGGCTTCCTTAAGAGTGGAATACAACTTTTTGACAATCAGTTATAGAAAAAATAGTTTATCTTAGGTTTAGAATAACAGTTAAGAGAAAAAGGTAAAATTGTCTTTCGTTTTCCAGGAACATCACAGCAAAAGCGCCTATCCTACTTTGAAGGGTCTGTCGTTACTTTGACAAAAGCCAGAAAATGCTCAAGGGCCATTCAAACAAACTGTGTACTTGTCTCCATCTAAACTAGTTTTCTAATGTTAGTTTGCGACTATGTTCCTGTAGGCACACCAATAGAACACACATTTTGGATGTCTTTATCTATCCATCGATTTCTGTTCTTGGGCTGTTTCTCAATATGCGTGTTCAATGTGTTCTCATCCAACATAGGCATGGGCCTGTTAATGTTTCTGGTGGTATGATAACCTTGGATAAAAATATCAGTTTCAGAGTATTGTGATTACTGCTCTAGAATATATAAAATATTTTAAATGTCTGGGAAAAAACAAAAACTTTTTTAAACAGTATATTTTATTTTTATTTCTTACATAAACCTTAGGTACCCTGCAGGCGCAGGACGTCATTATGACGTTATACTGACGGTTTACCCTAATGCACCCCAATGTCATGAGGATGATGGATTTTGTTCGGAAATGAAAATCGGGTTGACGTCAGAACCCAACGTCAGGCATACGTCAATGTCCAACGTCCAACCTAAAATCAACCAAATGTATAATCATGTTACACCTTGACGTTGTGTGGACCTTACCACAATGACATCTATCAGATGTTGGATTTTGGTCACTTTCCAATACAACCTAAAATCAACCAAATACAAACTTAATTTGATGTTTTTATTGCACGTTAAAATGGAGAATTTTGGTCACCCGATGTCATGATCTAAAACTAACCTAATATTAAGGTCTTATGATGTTGTGCCTGCTGGGAATGCTATAACAGATAATTTTGGCTGTTTTAAAACCTTGACTTTACCAAACCACGTTATACCTTGAAAAATTATCATCGCATGCATAATCCACCGTCACCATCAATCTCCAAAGTTGGATGCATTAAAGAATCCAGATGAAATTGAAGATGCATCGAAGAGTTATTGCAGCTATATAAAAGAAGAGGAAAGCTCCAAATTTTATATTCAATATTATTTAAAGTTTAGATATATAACTTGTTTATCTCAGGAGCTTCTTTAAATGAGATGAAGTAAACTTTCAGATGAAAATTTAAATAAAGGCATAAACACATGGAAAGGTGTTTATTTACTGCTTTTTGCAAAGTAACTTTGTAATGGTTTTGTACATGTTATATATTAAAAACAAAAACAAATAGAACAGATCAGTGTATGAATGTTTAATCATTTTCAGTGAAAACGTAAAGCTCATGTAACCATCAGGAAGACTGCAGCATCCCATTCCTCACAGCATGTGTATTTATGATCTTTTTTCTTCCAAGGTAACTCAACAAGACCTGTCTTCACGAGAACGCGAGTCCAATCACAGTGTTCATGGTATTGAGAAACAGCCTTGTAGTCTTGAATACCACGCAGATTAATTAAATCAGCTGTATTTAATTAGTTTAATAATATTTGGTATTGATGTGTATCCAATGCATTGTTGGGAAACATTGTTATAAACAGATTTATTTTGACCCTTGCAGCACATCTTGCTGGTTTTCAACATTTTAGGCCACAAATTGCCTATTCATTCTACATCAGGTGATGACTGTTTTAAACACAGAGCTTATAAGAATTAGGCAGGATCGAAACAATTACATTTGGACAAGTGTTTTGAGTGTTTACACTAGTAAATCATAATGCAGTAGTAATTAACATTTTTGCAGTTTGAAATTGCATTCTAGCTATATGTTTTTTGAGCTGATGCATATCTAGAGAAGCAAACCCATTAAACTGGTGTTACTACAGAAATGCTATAAACCATCCAGGTCAGTTCTGTTGCCCTTGTCTAGTTGTATTTAATGCAAGAGTGCACTGTGCATGAAGGGCCCCTTAGTGTCATTGAAAATACATCTTTGAGATCTTCACTGGATGCAACAGTTTCAGTTTTTTTAAAGGTTCAAGAATATTTGCCCCATTTGACTTGATGCAGCATCTACAGTACTTATTTTATCCAAATTAATTTTATTCTATTATGTCTATGAATGGTAGCTCGAAATAACCAAGCACAGTTACAGACTGCCCTTGAATGAGAAAAAGACCTGTGTGTCAAGAAGTACTACTTTTTTCCTGGTTTATCAAGCACATGAAACTCCTCAAGTGTGTTTTTAAAATCTTTGTTTAGGCTTCAGCCATGTTGGATTCTTAGCATCCACATGGTGAGGTGGAATACAGACCTAAATGAAATATCAAAATTGCACAATATTCATACATCAATGTTTTGCTTCATTTTTGTAAAATGAATACAACTTTGTTAACCAAAAATAAAAGTTATGACAGAGAATTAGCTAATTAAAGGTCTATGAGCTGAGACTGCCAAGAATGTACTGACTGGATGAAAACCAAGTGAACCGATTTGATAATCCAACTCAGTTTATTTCAAGTAATGGCTCAAAGTTATTACACTGGCTTAAGGGTTGCCAAACCCATGTAATATATAAGCACATATGTAACTTCACTGCCTGGATAAAAATATAAATTTTTGAATTATGCAGACGGAAACTCTGATAATCACTGAAGGGCCATGATTGATTAGAGAATGAATGAAGGAGTGTGACTATCCTGTCCCTGCAGTTTCATATCAGGGACTGATACTGTAGCTAAAAATGTATACTGTATTATACAAAGGTTTATCAGATATTTAAATATACCCCTTTTCTCTTTTTTTTTCTTATATCAATTACTGTAACTCACCTCTTATTTTTTTCTTATAAAGAACTATACAAAATAATGAATGCCTCAGTCTTTTATTTTGAAAATGTGCATACTGTATTTCACATGCTTACACAAAATATGACTTTACTATTCACAGTAAGAAATCTCAGATGGCACAACAAAGGTAGAGTGAAGAAAAAGGTAGATTTTTCAAACTTACAGCAATGTTCTTGTGTGATTCGTTTGCCATTAAAGGCTAACTGCATTGGCATTTTAATTCTAGATAATCCTAAAGAATTTACACTTCAACTTACTAGCTTCATCCAGAAGAGAGGACATTTGGGAATTATTGAGGTACGCATAGAAACCGGTTTGCAGCAACTGAAGCAGTAATATCTTATGCCTACTCAGGCCGTAACCAGCCTGGTTGAGGGGGGTGGTTCTTTTTTCTCAAAAGGTTGACCTTTTTTTGCAATTATACACCTCAATTCCTATTATCTATGGACTTTAAATACTGCATTTTAGTGACATTTTAAGCACTATTCTGAATTAGATTTGACTATTTTAGCCAAAATAGTTTTCAAATCAATTTTAATACGGTCCGTTTTTGGTGCTTCACACCTTTTTATTTATTTATTTTTTTTGTTTCAAGAATAAGGTCCAAGATTCAGAATTATACTTACTTGTAAAACATTTTCTCAACAATACAGTAGTCTTCTTGCGCAGCTGGATGTTGGACTCATGAACTCTTTTTTAATTGGTTATTTTCACGGTTATTTTTCTTTTTTTAATTGGTTATTTTCATGATGGCATAGCAGTCAAAACAGGACAAATGAGCTCATGTTTAGGACAAATTCTGGGCCTTTGTTAGTGAGCGGTGGGTCTTCCGAACCACCCAAACTCCCTTGGCTATAGGCCTGCTACTTGGAAAACACAAAATAACTTTCATGTTAGTCATATTTCGGTTGAATAAACATTTTGGGAATCAGGCAGAGTAACAGACAACAAAAACCTACTCCATTCATGTGACCTAAGAGTATGTAAGAAAAGTAAACAGTGATAAGACACTTACTCCTGAACAGCATGTTTACACTGTAAATAAGTGGAGTGATACAAAAAAACATCATGGATGGATTTTGCCTGGGGCATCCAAGTATTAGAGGCCTTGAGCTGACAGGCCCTCAGTGACTGCTAAAGTAAAACTGATGTAAGTGGATAGAATGAACAAGTCCACCTCTTGAATATGTGTGAATAATACAAAAAAAAAAACAAGAAGGTGTGTAAAAAAATAAATAAAGCAAAATTGATCAGATTTAACTAATGTAATAAATGAATGCTTCTTTTAAATCTGTTGTTGGTTTAGGTGGAAGATCAACAAATTAAACAGTATCTGATGGAGGAGAGCTGACAACAAAAAGTATTTTTTTTACAACACTGATTTCTTAAAACCAGTTACCAATCAAAGGTGTTTCATATACTCAGAATCCACTTACTTCGCGACATGAGTTTGTGATCATTGCTGAGTTTTGCAATCCACTAGTGAATCCTCTCATTACAGCAAACAAAGTGGTGTGGACAAGCTACAAATGAAAGCAATAGGCCTAAGCTTTTGAATTTAGAACAGCATGGTTAGGCAGGAAACAGAAATAAACGCTTGACAGCAAAAATGCAATGATATTGATCATCTTCTGCCAAGCAATAGAGAAAAAAAAAGATCATGCAGCACAGATGCAGCGGCACAACAATATTGTAATGAGGTCACAGCTGTGTGTTTCTAAAGTCATTTACAGCTTCCAATGTCCAGAAGTGTCTATCTGATTTATATATATATATATATATATATATATATATATATATATATATATATATATAAATACATTTTTCAACTTAAGTATGTGAAGTGACATGCTTTGAGCAAATAATATTCATATTTCTAACACTTTATTCATTTATTTTCGGTAACAATTTAAACTTAGTTACTAGTTTAAAGGCTTGATGTGAAATATTCATTGCTAAAGATATATACAGCACTTGATAATTACAGGCAGGTGTGTTTGTTATAGGTTGCAACTGAAATCTGCAGGAAGGTAGATCTCCAGGAACTGGGTTGGTCGCCCCTGTCATAAAACCATGCAAAATCATTTTTTCTCTAGTCCAAGGTTATTTCAATCTTTCAGTTTTGGAAATAGTGACATGACATTAATCCTCATTTTTACACCTCTCTTGTCTCAAGATCTTCTTGGGCAAGTTAATTTTAGTGCCAGAACTAATCAAAAACATTATTATTGAGTGGTTTCTAGAATTGCACTCCTTTCAGGATTAGCACTTGTGTTTCATAGTTTCCCTGAAAACTACTGTTAGATCAGGGTGAGCCAGTGCCTCACCTGTCATCATCCTCACCTGAGTTGTACTGTATACTAATGAAAAAATAAATATTGGTCTACTGATCTGTGATATAAATGCAATTTATGTGTGATTCAAATGACTTCAATCCTTTTAATAATCAAATCACTGTATTTGATTTATTTCATGTTCAACCTCTTGTCGAGGTGGACACCCATGACGTGTGGAGTCCCTCAAGGCTCGATTCTGGCACCTCTCCTGTTCAACCTTTACATGCTTCCTCTGAGCCAAATAATGAGAAAGAACCAAATCTCCTACCACAGCTATACTGATGACACTCAGATCTACCTAGCCTTACTGCCTAATGACTAAAGCCCCATTGACACCCTCTGCCAATGCATTGATGAAATGAGCAATTGGATGTGCCAAAACTTTCTTCTGTTAAACAAATAGAAAACTGAAATGATTGGGTTTGGAAACAAAGATGAGGTTCTCAAGGTAAATGCGCACCTTGGCACTGAAGGTCAAACGACAAAAAATAAGGTCAAGAATCTTGGTGTGACTCTTGAGTCAGATCTGAGTTTCAACAGTCATGTCAAAGCAGTCAGTAAATCAGCATACTATCATCTCAAAAACATAGAAAGAATCAGATGCTTTGTTTCTAGTGAAGATTTAGAAAAACTTGTTCATGCTTTTATCAGCAGCAGGGTGGATTACTGTAATGGACTCCTCACTGGTCTTCCTAAAAAGACAGTCAGGCAGTTGCAGCTCATCCAGAGCGCTGCAGCCTGAATTCTGTCCAGAAGCAGGAAATCAGAGCACATCACACCTGTCCTCATGTCTTTACACTGGCTGCCAGTTACATTCAGAATAGATTTTAAAGTATTATTACTGGTCTATAAATCACTAAATGGCCTAGGACCTAAATACATTACAGATATGCTCACTGAATACAAACCTAACAGATCACTCAAATCATTAGGATCATATAAACTAGAAGTTCCAAGAGTTCAGTCAAAGCAGGGTGAATCGGCTTTTAGCCACTATGCCCCTCGCTGCTGGAATCAGCTTCCAGAAATTATCAGATGTGCTCCAACATTATAGGCACATTCAAATCAAGACTGAAAACACATCTGTTTAGCTGTGCCTTTACTGAATGAGCACTGTGCTGCGTCCGACAGATTGCACTATCATGTTTTTCTCTTCTTCTTCATTCTTTTATATCACATTTTACCTGTTTTTATGTTTTGTTTTGTTTTTACGCATTTTTATTATTTGTTTTTATTTTTATTTTACTTGTTTCTTTTATTCTTGTCTATGTAAAGCACTTTGAATTGCCATTGTGTATGAAATGTGCTATATAAATAAACTTGCCTTGCCTTGCCTTGCCTTATATTGTAGTATATGTGTCATATTCCACTGCTATTTCAGCTGAAACTCAATGTATTACTAGGGTACATAAACTAACATGCTAGGCCTCTGGCACTGACATTGCTTTCACATATTATAATATAAATGATGCAATGCTATGTAAACTACAAGAGACACCAGCAACCGAGCACAGACCTACGGGTGCAGGGGAGAGAAAACAGGGAAGTCTATCAAGTCAATCCCTCTCAACAACTAGTGGGGGCTGATCGCTGGCTCTATTTGTCTAGTGAACATAGATAACAGGATGAAAACACTCCTAGTGATGGGGGAGCCTGTTGAGTGTAATGTTCACATCATTGTCCACAAATCTGAAGAACCCTCTCAATGATACAGCACACAGGAAACATGTACTAATGAGCAAACAGAAATGTGGGATCCAGCATGTGCATTCAACCCCACAGGTTGTCAAGGAGACATTTATCTGGGGATCAGAGGAGACAGAGACATAAACAAATACAACTGCAATCTTTTCCATGAACCGGACGTTGCCTGGTCTTTTATTTTAGTATGTTGATGTACTTCTAACTGCAATGGAATATTTAGTATATGGTGGGGATTTCTATTTGCGCATCATTCTCCATAGGAAACTAATGGTAAGAGAGGTGTGGTTAAGAATATTGTAGCTGACAATAGAGAAGGACTGTTACTTCCTTGATTGATTCAGATTTGGATTATTACCAAAACAAATTTTTTAATAATTTGTTCCACCTAAAGTATAATAACAAGCGCTAGCAAAATAAGCATTGTAAATTTAGATTTATTCAAGGTAAAATTTTTAATATTAACTATGACTTTTAGCTTATTAAAGCACAGATTTGCTGCTTTTTAGTAGTCAGTATGGTTGTAGTTGGGTTTAGGTGTTGGGTAGTATTATGGATGTAAAATAAGATCATAATTTTTAAGAAATAATCAATATCATAATAATAAACAGGTATAAGCCAGAAATTAATAGAGGGAATTGGCACAATTGGGTCTGAAACTGGTAGGAGGCAATGTTGCCAACTTGTCAAGTGACTTTGTCACTAGATTTAGTGACTTTTCAGACCCCCCTAGCGACTAGCGACAAATCTAGCGACTTTTTTGTGTTACTTGAGATTTATATAGTCTGTCTTTTTTTTTTATAATGTACCGTCTCTACTCTTCTCAATGAGCTCCCTCACTTACAGGCGGCCCAGTCCTCATACAGCAGCCTCTCCCACCTGCAGCCTGAAAGCAGATTATACTCTGCGTACCGGCGGCAAATGATTTAGCACCGGCAGTGTGAAGGTATTTCCCTTGTACAGTCAAAGCGATCTGCTTCTC